GGAGGAACGGGTGCGAGGGCCGCATCGAGATCTCCTCCAACGGGAGCCGCGGCACCGTCTGTGACGATGACTGGGACCTGACCGATGCCCAGGTCGTGTGCAGGCAGCTGGGCTGTGGCAGTGCCGTCTCTGCGCCCGGCAGTGCCTACTTTGGCCAAGGCAGCGGCAACATTTACCTGGACAACGTGCAGTGCACGGGCAGCGAGGCCTCCCTCTTCCAGTGCCGGAGCGCCGGCTGGGGCGTCCACAACTGTAACCACGGGGAAGATGCCGGTGTTGTGTGCTCAGGTGCCGTTGCTTCCCCTTCCTAAATATATTTTTTCTTTGATGAACTTTTGCTGAATTTTCTGATTTTAAGGCATGTTGCACGTTTTTTCTTTTTTCATGGTCTCACTTTGTGTCATCTGCTGAGACCACCATACCCTGAACTGGTGCAGTGACGGTGCAGTATGGAAATCACTGTTGCTGGAATAAAGTGTTGTCATGTTCTTGGATCCAAAATTCCTCATTTTGTTCTTTTTTTACTGCCTTAACAGATGCATTTTCCACTACCAGTGTTCCTCCTCCACCCTCCACTACTCCAGGTATGTCTGCATTTTTCATGTTTTCTGTGCATTACTTTTGAGCTGTATATAGTTACTTTTTTATAGTTTGTAGTTTTGTCATTTCCACATTAGAACAGAGTCAATAAGTCATTATCCATACTAAGAGATTAAATCCTCTATACTGATTATTTATTTATCACTTTAGTATTCTCCTGCTGGAGATCTATTTTAGACTGTGTTGATAAAATTGTTTTTGTTAGGTATCTTTTTTATTCTTCTCTGGACTTTATGATATTTGGGCCAGACCCTCTAGCTTTGTCACATACATGTATTTGCCTGAAGCCCACCAAATGCAAAGAAGCAAGCAAGAGTTGGAGTTCTCTGAAGAGAATGTATATTCATTTGTTCAGAAAAAAACAAAACTTAATTTTTCACATCTGTATCTTTTCTTCTTTCGTTTTTTTCAGGCATAAAATATTCTTGTGGTGGCTTACTTTCAAATTCCTCTGGAACACTGCAGAGTCCTTTTTACCCTTTGAGTTATCCAGATAATGCAGACTGTCTGTGGGAAATACAAGTAGAGAGCAATTTCCTTGTTGTACTCACATTTAGAAGTATTCAGTAAGTAAAGTTCTTATCGCTTGGGTAATAAATGGGGCCAAAATCTACACTGCAAGCACATTTCCCAAGCACATTTCTAATACTCACAAGTGAACTAGAAATATTACCTGGAAATTGTGTGAGTGCAGTATCTTGGTTTATTCTTTGTTCAGCACTTACAAACTGGAGTTTACAAGAAATGATGTTAATCTCTCAGGTTGCAAGGTGGATGCCAGAATGACTATGTTGAAATCTATGATGGGCCACCCAAAACTTCTACTCTGCTTGGAAGAATTTGTTCTAGTTCTGGTCTTACATATACATCGTCCTCAAACCTCATGACCGTTAGATTTCACAGTGACTCCAGTTATTCAAATAGAGGCTTTTATGCTGACTATCACTCCATTCGAGCAGATGAGAACACCAGTAAGTTCCCATTGAGTTTGTAATGTTTTCTCTGTGAAGTAGTTGTTAATGTTGATGAACCATTTCACATAGATGACACTCCTGCTTGAATTTCATAACTGATTATTGACCAGTACTTTCAGACAACAATTTTGGGTTTTTTGCATTTTAAGAAGACCTTCAGGTACCAAATTAACTGTCTTGAGACATTTTCCATGATGGCCAGTCTAAATTGACCTTTTTTTTTTATCACCTCATTTTTCTTATTTTTTCCACACTCGTGGCCAGATTGTCATAGAATCATGTCAGTATTGGTGAGAAAGACATCTGAAAGTCTCCTAGTCCACCCACTCAAAGCAGGACTCCTGACAACACTAGATGAAGTTTGCCATTCATTTTGTCTAGAAATCTTCCAAGAGTGGAAAGGCTGCAGCTTCTCTGAGTGACCTATTCCAGTACTATCCCGCAATCCTAGCAGAAAGGTTTGTCTGTGGCGCACTCAGGACTTTTCAAGGCACAAACTGTGGCCATCAATCTGTGTTATATCTTCTGCTATCACATTTGCCTTCATTATCTGTGTGCTGTGTGCTGCCACACAGCAGCTGTGTGGCTGTGTGCTACCAATAGCTGCTGTCACCAGATCCTTATCTCTACTAAAGGACAAGCTCTCCCTGGAGCCTTTATTCGTCATGTCATGGCACTCAGTGAACCATCACAGAGATGGTTTCAGGATCCGCTCCTGCACAAGTAGTGCTTATCTCTACGCCTCCTACAATAGCTCTTTGATTTGTATTCAGGAAAAGCTCTCACTTCTTAGCGTTTTTTACATGAGTGGTGATGCAGGACTGAGGTCTCAGCAAAGGCCTGTTGTAATCTACCTAATTTTGTCAGAAGAGTACCTGAAGGTCAGATGAAGGTTGTCAGAGCCTAGTGCTTATTCGTGCCTAAGCATGAATAAGCACACATGAAAAGTGTGAAAATAAGTGGTTCAGCTTATGAATTCTCCCCCCTAAATGGTAGTAGCTGTTGCATTTGGTGATGTTGTAATATCTAAGCATTATCAAATACCTGAATTCATTAATAATTCGTATTTTCTTCACTAGCCCTTGTGTGCTTGCCAAGCTACATGCATGTAGTTGTAAACAGAAACTATCTCCAGTCACAAGGCTACTCTGTGGAGAACATCATCTTATCTGACGGTTCTTGTAGACCAATAATTACGTCGACCCAGGTTATATTCAACATTCCATACAATGGCTGCGGCACACAAAGACAGGTTGGTGCCATGCACTTTGGAGATCAATCCACGTAGGGGCATGGAAAAATAGACATTTGGAAAATTGTCATGCATTGCAAGGGGCATTGTGGTCCATGGGAATTCAAAAAACAAAAATGAAGGATGTGTTTCTGAAGGCTAAATTCTTTAAACATTCTTTAACATCTTTAAACATTTAAACGTTCTTCCCCTTCTCAGCCTTGAAGGTAATCTCTGTGTCTATTTCAGAGTGATGTCCTGGAGAACAAAGTGTAGGATAACATTGAGTGAACAACTCCATCCAGGGTGCTTGGGTTTAAATATGGCATATCCTTTCTAATTACTGTCAGGACCTGGCACATACGTAGTTTATAGTACATAGTATGAACATGACTACATGCAATAATTCTGCTTTCATCCAATGTGTCAAACAGGGCGACAATGAAACAATCACCTATTCCAATGTGATAAAAGTGGCCGCTTCTGGTTACATAATCAAGAGGCAAAAGGACCTTAACTTGCACATCAACTGCAAAATGCTTCAAAACACCTGGGTGCAAGTAATGTATGTTGCCGATGACGTGATTAGTATCACTGAAACTCAGTATGGCAGATACGATGTGAACATTTCATTCTACAATTCCTCATCTTTCCTGTGGCCGGTATATGACTCTCCATACTATGTTGACCTGAATCAGAATTTGTTCCTTCAAGCTGCCCTTCAAAGCTCTGACCCAAATTTGGTGTTGTTTCTGGACACATGTGTGGCATCACCTAATCCTAAGGATTTTACGAGCCTGACCTATGATTTAATCAGAAGAGGGTAAGAAATTTATTAATAATGGTTTGAACATTATTTTTATGCACATTTATTTTAGGTCTCAGAGTGCTTCGTTCATGATAGAGATGAATTAGGTTGCATTTCTCAACATGTATGTAGTTCTGAGAAAGGAGTTTTGGGGAAAAAACTTGATTAAAATTAACTGTGACAATAGAAATGCCATTCAGAACTTGCAGTCAAGCACTGAGATTTCATCCAAGGATGCAGCATAAAAACTGAGGGTTAAATTAATTTCTGACATAGATGCATGAAGCTCTGAACTGTAGGCATATCAATGACTCTGCTTTTCCATACCTCAGGATTAGAGTTTTGCAAATAATTTCACTCAGCCCCATAACTAGAGTACAAAATATTCTGTTCAAAAAGAAGGCAAATTTCTTAGCCCTTTCTTGCTGTTCTGAAAATCTAAAACATTTTGAATGATTTGATACAAAATGTGCCATTTGATTTGAAATGAAATAGTTGTAGGTTCTTGTAAGGCATGCAAAAGAGACAAGGATCTAGAAGCACAAACAGGTGGCTATAGCTGTCCCTTTTCTTTTCAGGAATGAAGGTCCATTTCAATTTATCTTCTGACTATGCTTGGTGAGATTTGAAGCCTCCTGATAGGCAGTTAACATAATTAATCTTGCCAAGTTAGGAGCGTAGGTACCCCATTGCTAGGCTGGAGTGTTATTGCTTGTGTCAGACTAAAGAGTTGAAGTAGTGTCTCCTGCTTGCCAGGTGAATGTCCTCCCAGAACTACTAGCTATCTACAGTTGATCATGCTGACAAGTACTTTGCTGAGTTATGGAATTTCAGTGCTGTACACTTGGCTTTGGTACAAATTGCTGCCACTCTTTCTTACTTTTGTCTCTTACTTTCTCTTCTTGCTAAAAACACACATTTTTGTAACCTTTAGAGTGCTTGTATATTTTTATCTTCTTGTTTTATGTTTGAACCTAAGGCATATTGCGCAAAGATAGCATAATAGCGTTTCTATTCATGAAAGCTAATTTATACATTTTATATCTTTCCAGGTGTGTTAGAGATCCTACCTACTCTTCTTACCATTCACCATACAGATATGTCACTCGGTTTGCATTTAATGCCTTTAAGTTTGTAAGTCAACATCCATCAGTTTACTTGCAGTGTGAACTGGTGGTGTGCAGGTACAATGACTATTCTTCCCGATGCTATCAAGGCTGTGTTAGTAGATTCAAGAAGAATGCAGAATATCCCCAGGAAAAAGTGAATGTTGTTATTGGACCTATTCAGCTACGGGAAGCTCACACTGAGGACAGGAATGCTAGTAAGTTTAAATAACTTCCTCTTAATGAAAAATATTGTATCTTATGTAATGTAAGATCTGTAATATAGTGGATGTTCGCATGACAGTTTAGACGTGAAATCTAGCTCTGATACATGCCTTTGATGGTTTATTCACATCTCCACCATAATTCTTATAGGGAGATGTTTTTTAAGGAATAACGTTTACAAGCTATTCCCTTTCCGCCATATCTTAGAACCGTTATTTTCATCTGCACATGTCACATGGCAATTGATTCAGTTCTGCAGGGGAAGAGATGAGATGTAACTCATCTCCCTGCAGGAACTGTAATAATTTTTCAAAGCTATCTGTGCATGATTTATATATCTCCTA